ATCAGATCACAGGCTTACTAAGCGCCTGCTGCGCGAACATGCTTACTAATATCCGCAGCAAGCTTACTAATCAGCACAGCCTTGCGACACAGCCCTGTGATACCATAGCAACATGTCTGAGTGCCCACATATTTCCCCTTTTCTGAGGCTTATTTAGACTACTCTGACCGTCTAATCCATGCTATGTGATCATGATAGGGTAGTAGACAGTCAAATGTGTACATAAACAAAACTATTACACTACCAAAAAATATTTAAATACTAATATGGGTCAGTTCTGAGTACTGGGAAAGAAACTAGCATATCTAAGGATCGGCTACTATGATTGTAGTCACGCAAGTTGTACTCTATAGTAATTGTGAGTGGCTATCTATAGACCACATTCGTGTTTCCCGCATGCATTCTACGCGTCTCGCACCTAATCACTTTAGGGGCGGGACATCATGGGTGGCACTTCGAATGACAACCGCCCCCGGTTGTCCCGAGTCACGTGCATGTTCGATTCTTGTCCAACGCGCGCCTGACTCTTCTTAGCTCCTTATCTGTATCATGTATCTGCAAGGGGGTGTTTCCTCCGCTACGTTCTTTACCAGTACGTTGCCGCACATTGCCTCCCAACATTAACTTGCTGATTGTGCCTGTGTATTGTGTTCAGAGCCATCGCCTCCGCCGCGCACTACCATCCTTATCAGCGGGGCTATCACCCATCCCGATGCCCTCTACGCGCGTTCCCGAATGGTTCGGCCTGGTCGCTGGAAGATGCGTGCTCCCGGTCAGCGTGTAGGGGAGACTCAGCATGTTCGTCGCGGGATGTACATCTGGACCATAGATGGTGTCAACCGCACCGACATGACCGGCCGCGTCAAGAAGGTGATCGCTGTCAGCAATCGTTTCGTTGTGTACGAGTTGGATGGTTCTACTCAGTCGTATGAAGATGGGATGGTCATTTCCGTTCGTTCGAGGCTCGTCGTCCCTTGGCAGTCTTCGGATGTTAAGCTTTGGGAATGGCGGTGGTTGAAGTGGAGAGGACATTTCTGGGGTAGTTTAGACATTGGTCGCGATATGTGGGAGCCCTAGGACCGTTTTATATAGCTTTACACACCATGATGCATTCGATGTGTTTGATGCGATCTGATTCAAAGCCCTTATCGTGTGACATCCGAGAGTCCATAATATTTCGTTCGCTCATTGCCTTGACCATGTCGCATGAAGCCTATGATTATCGTACTATCTATCCTCTTCTCATTGCGTCGATCCTCCTGATTGATCTCTATCCAGTCTTACTCGTCCAACACCAGTTAAGGCGGCTACATGGTTGATTAGTGAGGATCCAGCCGACAACTGGGTAAGAGCTTACGCGCTCTGAGCAAACGATCGAGTGGTTGGCTAAGTCTATACCTAGCCCACTGACGGATAGACAGGAGTGTCCATTGCGGACAGACACGGATGACGATGGTCTTGAGGTCTCCGTTGACGAGGCGGTCGCTGGTGTGGTGGACGTTGCCCGTAATCCAAAAACTCATGCAATCTCGCTCTATGCCCATAATTCCCGTGACCTGTCCGTATATGACCCAACCGTTATCATGCATCTGCAGATGGACGCCGATGCGCATTCTTCCCACAATGGGCCCCTCGAGTTGCCAAATGAGTGGACTGTTGATATCGAGCAACGTGGCCCACACATAAAACACGTCATTGTCGCGTGGTGAGATGGGAATTAGGTGTGAGTTATACGGTGGTGGGAGGAATGAACTAGGAACTCCGACAGCGTCTAGTGCATAGTCCAGGAGTTGGGTGCCAAGGTGGAGGAGACCGGTGGGGTCAGGACCGTTAGGCCAAGTTAGAACGCTATGGCCTAGAATCAACTTCTCGGTGTCATTCGGTGGGCGAAAGACTAGCGGCAAGTATTGCAGCAGATCAATTTCGACAATAAGGTTCTGGGCCTGTTCGATTGCGGTGAAGTAGTTGAGCACAGGGAGAGAGTCCTGGGCAGCCTCCATGGTTGACTTGTCTCTTACGGTAGCTACTGCCTCTTATATACTGGTTGAACATCTTGCCTATATATAGATAATGCTTCCCACATTTGTTGCCTAGTTGCTGACTCATGTCTCTTCTATGTTCTCTTCCTCTTCTGAGTATGCATCATCATAGGCTTCCTGTGCTTCGTCATCTACTTCATCCGGTATGTCATCCCGTGCCAATTCATCCTCCAATAAATTTGCTATCGGTAGATAGTCTTCGCTTCGTGCGTGATAGGGTAGGAGTCTGAAAGGTGCTACTCCTTGTCGAATGAAGGTGCCATCCAATTCCCGCAATACATACGATCCACCTTTAGATTGCCCAATGACTTCAAACGGTCCCAAGTATCTTGGCTTTGACTTTCTATTGTGTGACTTCTCATAGCAGTGTTACGTACTAATACTA